TTACAGGTGTGACCATGAAGTAAGGGAGTACTAAATAACTGAACCCATTTCTCTGCAATCTCTCGGTTGCCTCTGTATCCAACCGTTGCTTCACTAAACTTCTCCACAGCAATCTGCATATTATGTAACTAATGGTGAACACTGCAATGAATTCACTCAAAACAGGTAAACGAAGGAGAAAAGAAAATTATGGGTAATCACCTCGTTTGCAATATTTGCCCCCATCAGTACACAACAGTTAATGCTGAGCTCCTTGGAGATGAGACTGGAGATCATGCAGGGGCCTTCCTTCTTAACCTCCATCCCTTTGATAAGCGAAATGGCCACAACATCTCCCTCTATCTTCCCAACAAGACTCTTGCATATCCCCTCCATAAATTGATGCGGCGTAACAAAAACTAACATGTTTGCATCCTTCACTGTATAATTCCTCCAATTACAACAACCAAGGGGATCACAACCTCTAGCAACCAAATCATTTTTTTAAATTAAAAGTATAAGATATTTATTAAGAATATGGCATCAAGAGAGGGTGTCATACATTTACAAATATTTATATCTCGCTAAGTAAATCAATAACATTCCTAAAATATTCCATCCTATAAATGTCATGACTCAAAATCAAAAAACCAAATTAATGAATCTATTTATTCCTATTTTAAACATCTCACACTCTATCCTATCGAACAATTTTCTATTCCCCTCTATTCAAACAATAAAATTTACATATTTTTTCTTTTTACATATGCCTTCCCAAGCCCTAAGCTCATCCCTTACCCACCCTGCAATGACCCAATGAAAATAGAATATCGCATATGCCTTCTCATGTAAATATCTACCAATCAAAATTTAGCCAATAAACAAAAGAGATAAGGTAGAGATCAAACACCTGCACTTTCAAGGTTGGGGTCTGCAACAACATTTTTACCAAGCTTAATCCCAGGAAGATACTTGACATTTTCCTGTAAGATCATAAAGAAAAGGCATGTTCTAACTAAACTAAACAAGGTAATTCAGAAAACTAAATGCTCAATAACATTAGTTCCTTACATTAGTTCGGTTGATGACATCTGTGAGCTTCTCACCACTTGGCAATGTCTCCTCAAAAACCCACACCCTCATTTCATCTGAAATTTTTCATGATTGGAAATGTTGTAATTCAAAATGGGTTCAAGTTTCCATAAAGAACAAAGCCAAAAGACTCAAGCTTTTATCTCATTCATTTCTTCAAACAGTAAGTGGGCACCCCAGAAACCAAAAACTCTCAGCTTAATCCAGTCTGATAACAACTAACATTGGATCACCTTGATATAAAACCATTCATTTATTATAAAGATTCTCACTTTAGCATCTCTCTTCTTATTTTCCTCCTCACATAACCAAAGGAATTTATACCCACATGG